GGGGGGGGGGGGGGGGGGGGCGGTCTCACAAGCCAATTGTTTGTTGTTTTTTTTTCGAAAAGTACAAGCCAAAAACTTAAATGGGTTTTTCAGAGGGATGGAGATGGGGATTGAAAAAACAGTGGAATAACATTTTCACAAAATAATACTTGTGTAGTTCCAGAAAATATTCATACTTCTCTCATGGAAGGGATTTTTTTTATAAGCCCCCCCACCCCTCTGGAAATTCCAAATTATTAAGCTTCATACATTTCTTTAAATTTTTTGTTCTTACAGAAACCCCACCCCACCCCACCACCAGGAAATTCCAATCCCTTCTGCTGGGGGAGAATGGATATTTACTGGAGCTCCACATTCTACACATGTTAATTTTTATTATGATGAAAAAGAAGTTAAACTAATGGCAGCAATTAATCCAAAATATAAGTTCATAAATCTGTTTTTACCATGTCGGCATCAGTATCTTCTGATGGGACCTCCTCAGCTGTCTCGCTGTTTTCTGTGGTTGCACTGCTTAACAGACTGTGCTCCGAGATCTTCAGAGTCAAGTAGTTCTTCAAATCATCAAGCAAACGGGATCCATCATAACTGTCAACCTAAATCAACATATTCAAAATACCCCGTAAATCCTTACTGACTGCTTTTCATCACAATTATTTTAATGGTAGCTGCGTTAACATTAGGGACAAAGAAAGTGAGCATCTTCTCCTGAAAAAGAAATATGGTCCATGCAAGTTAAGTTCATTTAGAAAGCCGTCCTAAGAAAATATGCACGCTGATTGGTTAGAAATTGTGTTACCATAACTCAATAGAAACTCAGAACTAGCACGGGCTGTCAACGCAATGACAGTGCGAGCAAAGAGAATTTACATTTTGATAAGCAAAGTTAACCAGTTGTTTTCTTTTTTTCATCATGGTGTTTTCTCTGTGTTCCTATTGAGTTATAGAAGCACTCATGAAAGTTTGGGAGAACTCGAAAAAGCTGTGGAAACACCAGCGTTCGGTTTGTGTTCCCACAGCATTTCTAGTTCTCCCAAACTTCCACTCGTGTTTCTATAACTCGATAGAAACACAGTACATGTTTTCTTCTTCTTAAATAGAGTCAAATCAATTGCTGTCACTTTGGAATGAATAAATTTCCTAATTTTTCACCGAGCCCTGTTTTACAAAATCAAACCTTGGATACCAACCTCTCTTCCATCTTTAAACAACTTGAGAGTTGGAAATGCATGGATATTGTGTTCAGTACATTTTTTGCTTTCAGTTGTACAATCAATCTGTGAAGCACAAAGC